AGCCAAAGTCTGACTTCTGCAAAAGCACAAAACAGCACTGCGTTTAGTGGGAAACTTTTGGCAGTGGGAGGCGAGGGGTGCTGTGTGGGTGACCTCTGTGAGTAGAGACCTGGGGTCTCTGTCCCTGCGTTGCACAGAGCTGCTTCCAGCTGGCTCCAAAATGAACCCACCATTGCCCAAAGCGGAACTCTTCAGTCAGTTTGGTGCTACCTCTATGAAAACACATTTAGGAAAGGGTAAAAATGCTGTGCAGCAGCTGTGAAACAACTAGAAAAATGTGAAACAACTCTGCAGAGAGCAAGGGCAGAAAAGGGGGGGGAAGAGGTACTCCAGGTACCAGAGCAGAGGTTCCCCTGCAGCCTGTGCCCCTGCAACCCATGGAGGACCGTGCTGGACCAGATCCCCACCTGTAGTTTGTGGAGGACCTAATGCCACAATAGGTGGGCATGCCTGGAAGGAAGCTGCAGCCCATGGAGAACCCATGCAGGAGCAGGCTCCTGGCAGAGAGGAGCCCACGTTGGAGCAGTTTTTCTGGCAGGACCTGTGGGGACCCACTGGAGCAATCTGTTCCTGAAAGGCTGCACCCTGGGGAGAGGATGCCTATGCCCTTGTGCCACTCTGGGCCAGACAGAGGAGGTAGAAGAGTTGGGAATAAAGGAGTGAGGTTGAGCTTAGGAAGGATAGGGGAGGGTGGGAAGGGAAAGAGAAGGTAGTTTTAGTTTTGTCTTTGTTTCTTGCTACCCTATTCTATTTTTTATTGACAATAAATTATATAAAATCTTCCCTGAGCTGAACCTCTCTAGGTGGCGTCAGTAACAGGTCAGTGAGCTTCTTTTCTTTATCTTGACCCATAAGCTTTTTAATCTTATTTTCTCCCCATGTCCTCTTGAGGAGATGGAGGGAGAGGGAGGCTGGTAGCCAAAGTCAACCCACCACAAGCACAAAACACTAGAAGTAAAAATAAGCAAAACCCAAGCTGTTGGTGCTATAGGTGACCAGTAAACTTGGAAACAGATGTTTTGGAGTGGTTTCTAGATGGCTTTTGCTGGCCAACATCAATGTTTTCAGTGGTCATGAGACAAACTGTTTACTAATCTCAATCTCAAGCATGGTTTATCTAAGGTAATGCATCAGTCTGAATTACTCACAGAGGGCTCCACTCCTAATGTATTCCTGGTTAGAAGTGTTTATTAATAAATATTAATTACCACTTGAAGGAGAACATTGAAATAATAGCTGTTTTATGAAATGGCTAATGAAACGTAACGCTAGAAATACAGTATGTCTTAATAGACTTCAGAATCAGGATAATACATTCTGTGCTGCTCCAACATAAAAGGTTGTTTATCAGTTTTCTAAAAATTCTGCTTTAATAATTAGCATACATTATGTATACATTAGGGTTTTTTTAAGTAGTCATCGAATCATAGAACCAACTAGGTTGGAAAGACCTTTAAGATCACCAAGTCCAATCAGGACTACCCTGGGACTGCCAAGACAAGATGTAATTACTGTCACAGGGTGGTTGTGATTCTGTTGTGTGGTTAAAAAAAAAAAACAAGCAAAAACAAGCTTAGTTAGTCTATTATAGATCCACAGATATCTCAGACGTATAAGAAGTCCTTTAAAGTCCTAAAGTTAGGTATAATTATTTCTGACACATTTTGTAATTAAACCATTAAGTTCATAATCCTTTATGTTAAAAGCACTTCTAATTACAAACCATTTCCCCTTGCGCAGGTACAAAACTTGGTTTGCTGCTGCTCTTTATTAAGTAGCATTTTCAAATGCTTTTTTCCCATCTCAGAATCAGGAAATAATAAGCAAGAAAACAATAAATGGTATTATTCAAATATAAGGACTACTGATTTATTGTTGAGCTAGACAAACTCAAGTCTAAGTACTCTCTGTTTTATTCCTGAAAAGCTGAAGTGCAAATGCCATAATTTCAGTGATTCCTATACCAAGTGTGCTTAATTTAGACGCTCTCCCACTTCCAGCTTTCCTGTTTTCTTGCCGACTTAGGGAAGTTGCATAGAAAAGCTGCTACAACAATTGCACAATGGTGTTGTTCTGATCCCTGAGTTATCATGTTTTCCAAATCAAAATCACTATCTTCTAGAATAACTGATGTATTTCCAGAGACAACTTTTATTCAGAGACTCTGAATATCTGAAATCACAGATTACTTAATAATAGCTACAAATAGCTTAGCTACTCCAGTCTCCCAGAAAAGCCATTTCATCTTTGGATGAGATGATCAAAGTAGTTCTCCTTATCATGATAAGAATTTTCTGCACACTGCATTAAGATCAGAATTTCATCTAGGTAAAAAAGTACAATCTCTAATAGTTTCACCTTTGTGACCACTGTATTCAGTATACAATTCTCTCAATTCCTCCTAATCTCATTTGGCCCTGACATGGTACCCTGTTTAGTTTTCACAAGTTGTGATCAGTGAAAAGAAAGCAGATGTTGTCACTAGCAGCATAAGCAATGACTAAAGGCAGTAGAAATCCAATGGATGAAAGTCACTTTTGTTTCCATGGCTTCTACCTTTGCAAAGGATAAGGATTTTCGTGGTTGGTTGGTTTGTTTGTTTGTGTGATTAGGGGTGTTTTTTGGTTGGTTGTTTTTGCCATTTTGGGTTTTGGGGTTTTTTGGTTTATTTTCTCAGAAAATTCCTACATTCTGGTTTTCACTTGGAAGCTCCCACCATTTTTCGCACTGCTCATGTTTTCTGTCACCTAAACCTTTCTCTATGTCTGATGCCGTTATCTAGATGTCACCAGCGTCAAGTACTCAGTTCCTTCTGCTATTTTTGTATACCTAGCTCTGGTGAGTCCTTTACACATGCAACTTTTTATGTTGTTCCTCTTGTGCCTTTCCATCACCTTTTCCAGATTCTCTTTTGGCCACATTCAAACTAAAAATACCTAATGACCGAGGAAGAGGGTGGGAGGTGTATAAACAAGTGGAAATTTTAAAAAAGGATATTTATATCTGTCTTTATCTGTATTTCATATTAAGGTTTTTTATATAGAAATTGTCAGCCTCCTTGTTTTCTTGCAGCACTTATAGCATAGCTGTCTTCCATACTAACAAAGCTGCTGTCCTGAGATAAAAAGCTTTTGCTTACTCTATTCCTGACATATCATACAGGCCACACATATATAAAGTTCCTATTCAGTACAGAGACAGGTCGCCACAATGAATTTGTTTTACACAACAGGGATGTATCTCTCTGTAAATCTTCTATGCACAGGCAACAACTGGATCTCCATACCCTTCCTGCAAAGCAGTGGCATTCATTTGTGCAGTCCACATACACTGTGACCCTATATCCTCCTGCATTCTGGTACACTGTTTAACAAACGGACCATGAAATGGATTATTCACTGTGGGCGAGCAGTGGGTTGAGTCCTGGCCAGGGGCCAAACTGACCTCTTACATTCTTAGCATTCATAAGCCTTTAAATCATTAATATGGTAATACTGCTAATAGGCTGCAGTGAGGCAATGGGCGTACACCCTCAGTCTCACTTCTGCAAAGTGTCTTTTCTGTGTGTGTTGTCTTCCCCTCCAAATTCCCAACCAGTATTTCTCGAAGTGTCCTGCTCAGAGGGGGATGCTTCAGCTGCTTTTGTGCATTCAGTGCCAGACCACATTCCTCCAGCGGCTGTACTCACCCGCACTGGACAGTGCTGCAGGCTGCACTGTTAAAATAAGCCAGGCTTTGTCCAGTTCTAGCTCTGCTGTGCTGTTTGTCCTGGGCCTGATGGACTTTGCCAGTAATGGTGCTCTGCTCCTTACAAATGTAATCTGAGAGAATCATTTCTGAAGCAGGCTAGAAGCAGGATGCTGACTTTGTTTGGACATACGTGACAGATGAGTAGCATCTATGCTGGTGAGAGAAATGTGACAGCCAGGAGCCACTCATGACCCAAGAAAAAGGGTAAGGAAGAAAACTGTGACTCACCTGTGAAACTCCAGATCTGACCACAGCAACTTCTAATTTATTTTAGCTCCAAAACTACTCATATAAAATAAGTGTTTCTCACCGTGAGAAGAATAGATGAATCACTTCTTTTACTTGGAAAGCTACACGTTTCATTTCAAATACATGCTTTGCTTAGTAAATGCTAAATAACTGACAGTCTACACAGGATAGAAGTCTTAGAAGTCTATCACGTGCTCTTTTTTTCCCCGAGAATAAAACCATGGGAAGTTAGCCTGTGTAATACAATCTGCACCTATCCGTTCTCCCCTTCCTCTCTTGTGCTACAGATAACCATCTTCTTACAGCTGTAACCCTCATATACAGATAATGGAGAGTATACATTCCAGCTAAAATTTGCTTTCACTCTGCCCTTCAAACAGATCAGTTCCCAAAAATCTCTGGTGTGCAGAGAGGCTGAAGAGTTGAATGCAACTAAATTCCTGCCTTAATTTTGTATTCCCATGCTCTAGGTTGTAGCTGTCAGAAAACATTAACCTGGATATTTTACTGACTGTTAAATACACAGTGCAGCCCATTCTCTGACTCTGTTTGTTTATGTAGCTAAGTGACCTATTAGAATGGAAGTTAAAAACATAGCCACACCAAACACACATTCTGCCTGACAAAACAGGCAGGTACATGCCTTTCTCTTCTCCAGCTGCTACAGCTGTTGTATAAAAAACACTATTTCCATCTCTGCAAAAAGCCCTGGATGAGTTATTCTTAGCATTGAGCCTAAGCACAGGAAGAATGAAAGGGCTAAAAGCAATTTTTTCTTTCCAAAGGACAAAAAATGTTTTACAAATTTAAAGAAAGTGCTGGTAAGTGCATAGGCAACTGAACTCAAACATTAGTATTCAGGGTTGGAGTTACAGTGGTTTTCCATTCATCTTGTCAAACAGTGAGAAAAGTGTGTGAAAATGCAGCTAAAAATTCTTTTTGATGAGATAGTGGTGCTTCATGATCTCTCAATCAGACATTTCACCCATAAATATATTTACCTCTGACCTGATGTGGGGACCTCTGCTTTACCATCACAAACTTCAGACCACATCTTGTGGGCTAAAAAACAAACACCAGTGTTATTTCCACTTACAGCTACGGTTGTAAAGCAGTCAGGTGAGCAGCATTAAACCAACCCCCCCTGAATACTATGTCTGAGCATAGGTATCAATTACTGACACCACAGCTTTCACAGCAACAAACTTGGAACATTGCAACAGCAAAGGGGGGGAACACTATGTTTCATATGTTTTGGAAACCATACCAAACATAGTGGCTTTTCTAGGCAAAATAATAAGCTGCAAAACACCTGTGATAAATGTGTTCACTGGCATTAGCCTTGTGAAACTATGCTTTTGTGTGTGTCTTGCTGTCTCCCTTCCCGTTTTAGAAGGCTTGACCATGCTGTCAGGTTCTTGAGCTGTTTCTAGACTCTTCTGCAGCTGCAACACCTTTGCAACTCACCTGCCTCTAACAGTTTTTGTCACAAGAAGCTGGCGATTGAAAAGGAAGTGGTGGTGAAGACACACAGGCTCACACTTACACAGAGCATGACTTCCCATGTTTTGTTTCCTCAGGAAACCAGGCAAAAAAAACCAAACCAAAACAAAATCAAAGCTGAACGATTTTAAGATTATTTATTTTTTCCCCTTAACTTGCATGAAAAATTTTCAGACTAAAGAGGACAGAAAGAAACAACACTGACCCCAGAACCTTCCTCCTAGAGGTGGCTGTGGGGTTAGTAACATTTACTAGCCCGGTACAAGCTGTCAGAGTGAATCCACTGTGTGGATTTATTTATTGCTTTGGTAGTTAATGTAAATGCCAACAAGATTTATAATACTAGATAGATCCTTGTTGATATTCTTATGTATCAAATAGAGCATATTTATCATTCTGAAAAGGAAAACAGTAGCTATCAGGTTAACTGTTCTGCTATGACATGAATTTCTCTCCAGTCCTTAAAAACTCCAGTAAATAGGTATAGTCTTAGCAACAACCCTGATATAAACACAAATGTGTTTCCTGAAAAGCAGGAAGCAGCTTAACAATCATATCATATGACTAGCTAAATGCAGAAGAACTTTGCTGGGTTTTTTCCAGGGCAGTAAAGCAAATTTCCATGTGACTTTGTGGGAGATGACTGTTGCTTGGGCTGCTGTAACTGGAAAATCCTTTTACTCTGTAGCATGGGCACCTTACACATTTTGTCCTGCCCATGAAATTCATCATCTTGTAGATATCCATTTCTATTTTAGCCTTTGCAAGAGCAAGGAGTATGAGAGAAAAGCTGAAGACAAGAATACTGGAGGTTCTGCAACCCCACATGGTCCCATCAGTTCGTATGGACCATATATGTATACAGCTTTCTCAAGGGAGCCAGATCTTGAACAGAAGCACCATGAGTATTTCATTTGCTGCAGTCAGATCTTGCTTAAACCACATCTTCTCTATCGTAAAGGATTATGCCACTCCCTAAAATGCAAGCATGAACCTCTTCTACTATTTGATCTTTTGCATCTGCACCTGGGAGCAAGAGATACTTTGAGAATATGTCATGTAAATTGACTGTTCAAGAGGCTGTCTGAAGCATGAGTTTGCAACGTTGGGCTGATAGTTTGCAGCTATCACAGAATCACAGAATCACAGAATCCCAAGGGTTGGAAGGGACCTCGAGAGATCATCTGGTCCAACCCCCCTGCAAGCGCAGGGTAACCTAGAGTACATCACACAGGAACTTGTCCAGGCGGGCCTTGAATATCTCCAATGTGGGAGACTCCACAACCCCCCTGGGCAACCTGTTTCAGTGCTCTGTCTATTGTGACCTTACTGATTTTTCACGTTGAATATATTGGTCTTTCCCACACACACACACACAAGAAGTGGAGTTAAAATTGCACAAGCAAGGAGAAAAAAAGAAAAAGGGGGGGGGTAGTAAATCTGCAAGTGAAAGCTTAAGGAAATTTTCTTCCTATTTTGTGCATGGTGAAAAAAGACACACTCTAAATATTAAATTAGCCTCTGAAAAGAATGGGAAGAAAAAAAAAAGACAGTGAGTTATGAAGGTTAGAAGCCAATTTATGTTATAGGTATCTGAGAAAGAGACTACACAGCCAAGTACAACAAGTGAAAATTTGTTGTGCAGAATTTACGGTGTGTTCCTATGTTAATCTGTTTATAGAATGAATTTTATGCACTCAGACAGATGAAGCACCCAGAGAGAAATCTTTAAATACATTTAGGTGCCTTAAATTTCCAAGAGGTGTTTAGTGGGGCTTTAAAATACATCCAGGAGTTACCTACAGCAGTCAAGTACATGGTAAGATTTTGAAACACCTAAGCACCTTTAAAATCCCAGACCAAGCCTGTGGAGACTCAAAGTGACTGTGCAAGCTTTTGTAGACACATGTTATAATGGCAGCTACATCTCCCAAGTCAGCTGAGCTGCTAAGTAAACACAAGCATGGATGAAAAGGATTTGAAGGTATATTTACAGTCAATGACCAACAAATGGGTGTTGCTTCTTTTCAGATTTTAGCAATAAAACTTGGAGAAGCTGAAGATTGATTCAGATGTGACTGAATATTACAACATACTTATGTAGCTATGTGTACAAGTGAGATGCAAATTTGTTGGGTAAACTGTTTTTCACCTGCATCATGCATACCTTTCTGCAGTCTTACACGTACTTCTGTGGGTTATTTTGAATGCGTGGGAAACTGGCTGAAGTTCTGGCCTCTAAACAGTGTTTGACCAACTGCTGACAAACAGCAGACAGACCTTCCAAACATGACTCACACTGGTAGTGCAAGCTATACAGCTTCTCAGGAGGCACAAAGGCTCTACTACAATATACTCTCACTGCTTCTTTTACCTCCTCACTTTCCTTCCTCTGTCCATTTTTTCCTTCTAACACTTATTCTCAAAAGATAATTTTGATCAAATAGGTTTGATCTACTCCTGGATTATGTGATCCAAGGCTTACCTCCATGAACACAAAGAAAAACAGGCAGCTGGGGGAACCCCTGTAACATACCCAGGGAGAAGGAGCCCCTGACCTGGCTCCACCCAAATAGGGATCAGACCGTGGGACAGGTGTGACACCTGTCACCACCATTCAATAGGAGAGGCTTCATGGGTCACTGTACAGAGAGGGGTTACTGCTTGCAGATGTATGGGATGCTTTAGGGGATGGAGAGGAAGAGAGACTTTGAGACTGTGCAAGAAGACTTCTGGGATGTTCAGAGGAAGACTCAAAGGTGGGGAACATTTCTTGGGAATAAAGGTGTTTTGGTATGGATACGGGAGCTAAAAATGGTCTGGTTGGATGTAAAGATGTTGCTGCTCAGCACGCCTATCTGGCTATGCTTTGTACCTGATCAGCTCAGTCTGGCTTGTCTTATTAAATTGTATTTTAATTATCTTCCTGGGTGGGAGGAGGGGTGTCCATATTCCATGTGTATATGTGTGTATGGCGATTTGAGTGCCAGCAATTGGGGGGGGGGGCACAAGTCATAGGGGCCTGTGTGTCTGTTATGGAACAACTGGAGAGACCAGAGTGCAGGCACACTGTGTGGATTCGTATGTCAGCGTGTGGTCACTACTAAACATCAAGCCAGGCTAGCAGGAGAGTAGGGTTAGAAGCCTGGGACTCAAATCTGGGAGTAGCCATAAGTCCAGGTAAGATAGTGAAAAGACTCACAGAGGATCTGTGAGGTGGCTTGTGGAGGGACCAGAGCATCCAAGACATCAACTGAGGAGGCTGTGGTGGGGTCTGGGGGTCAACTACTATTAAGGTTAGTCTGGACCAGCAACCTCAGACAGTTATTTGCCTGTTTGCATCTCTGCATTACACAACTTGGGATCCAAGGCCAGCTACTGAATAGGCTGAGTGTCCCAAGACCAGATAATGGATGAGTGAACCATTGTGTATGTGTGTGTGTGTGTGTGTCTGTAGGTCTGAATACCAACAAATGGAATGGAGCTGTGGGCCTCTGGGGTTAACATTTCCACATGTCAGCAACTGGGAAGACCTGGGATCCAGCGTCAGCCTCTGAATGGGATGTCTAAGGCATCCTTGCCATCTACCGAGGGATCCATATTTTGTGGATGTATATGAATACATAGTTTCCATTAATGGACTTCTGTCCTGATCAGCCAGAAAGGGGAAGAGGATAAAGCTATTAGTGCCATTTGTGTTTGCATGAGTGCTGTGTTTTCTGCTTGTGTCAGTGTTGCCAGCCATGTGCGTAATATATGTGTGTGAGGGTGTTTGTATGCATATGAGTGTGCGTGTGCATGTGCCTATTGAGAGCACACACTCACCACTAGCTGAACCAGGAAACTAACTGAATTTAAAAGAAAAAATGGTCATAACAGGCAAGTTGATGCCAAGTAGAAACCACAAAACATTAAAAAGTGTGTGCTCGCAGCCCAGAAAGCCAACCGTATCCTGGCCTGCATCAAAAGCAGCGTGACCAGCAGGTCGAAGGAGGTGATCCTGCCCCTCTACTCTGCTCTTGTGAGACCTCACTTGGAGTATTGTGTGAGTATTGTGTGCAGTTCTGGTCTCCTCAACATAAAAAGGACATGGAACTGTTGGAACAAGTCCAGAGGAGGGCCACGAGGATGATCAGGGGACTGGAGCACCTCCCATATGAAGATAGGCTGAGAAAGTTGGGGCTGTTCAGCCTGGAGAAGAGAAGGCTGCGTGGAGACCTCATAGCAGCCTTCCAGTATCTGAAGGGGTGCACTAGGGATGCTCAGGAAGGTCTCTTCATTAGGAACTGCAGTGATAGGACAAGAGGTAATGGGTTAAAACTTAAACAGGGGAAGTTTAGAATGGATATAAGGAGGAAGTTCTTTACTGTGAGGGTGGTGACTTGGAATGGGTTGCCCAGGGAAGTTGTGAATGCTCCATCCCTGGAGGTGTTCAAGACTAGGTTGAACAGAGCTTTGGGTGACGTGGTTTAATGCGAGGTGTCCCTGCCCATGGCAGGGAGGTTGGAACTGGATGATCTCAAGGTCCTTTCCAACTCTGTTCTATGATTATATGATTCTAAAAGGAAGAATTTGCAAAGCATGTGGAAAGCCAGGCATATTCAAGGACATACAGATACAAGCAAAGCTCAAGATGACCTCACTAATCAGGCTACTGAATAAATGGCTTGTTCATGGATTTCTTCCAAAAATGCAAATCACACAAAGAAGGACATTTATTTCAAGTCCTTCAGCAGAGAAAAAGGCACATAGTATCCAGTCCTGGCTTCTGGCTGCTTGCAAGACAAACACAGTGATCCTCCAGCTGCTTCCCTGATATCAGACGTTTGACTCAGCCTAGCATGGTGTGTGGGAGCTATTTGGAGGTCACTTGCAAGAAGCTGCTAGCCCGGATGAAAAATACCTATAACATCGGTCATGTCACAGCAATGTGAAGACAGGCACGTGGTAGCCTCCCAGCCTAAGTACAGATTTGCGGTTATTTATCAATTCCTTACCTTAACTGTGTTCAAGATGTAGACAGCACCCAGCATTACTCTGCAGGAGGGTCCCAGATGGGTCACTTTTGATCAAGTAGGTAATGAGGTTCTGTAACACTGGCCTCAGGGCTGCTCTTGTACAACAGCAGAGATGTGGTCAGGCAGTAAAGATGTGCATGGACAGACGAATGCCTCCCACCAGGGCTATGTGTCAGAGCAGGCTACTTAGGCAATGGCATCCCTCAGAAGAGTCACACTGGCTCTGAAACAGACAGCTTTCCTCTACCTGGGAAACCTTGCGACAGCTGCCTAAGGATCAGGAGGGTCAGCAGCTGTGGGATCTTGTTGACTTGCTGGAAAGGAAAATCTTCCTTTTCGTTACAAATCAAGCTATTCAGACTATGTGCATTCCAGGGCATGCTGTATGTTGCAGTGACATGAGTTTTCAGGAACACTGCTTCAGAGACAAGTTGGAGGAACAACTGCCTTCCCAGTTGCAATTTTCAGGCAGCAGCTTGTTATCTTGCTGGCAAAACCACATCAGAAAATAGCCATGCAGAGAAGATGGCCGTTGGCGAGGCACTGAGAAGGCTCACCCATTTCTTGGGGTGCTGCTACTTCAGCCAAGGCTGCGACCTGCCCCGCCGACAGGGGGGGAGCAGGCCAAGGAATAATGGGAGAAGAGGACCGTGTCCACCTTCAGCAAGGGCAGGGTGCCTCGGTGGGCCGAGATGGCACACCCGCGTTCGCCAGGCGGAGTTTTGGTGACAGCGAAGCAGAGCAAGGAGAGGACGGGCCGGTCCCCGGGACCCTCAGGGCCGGTAAGAGGCCCCATGTCCGCAGGCGGCCCCCTCAGCACGGCGGCGGGGCCGAGCCACTGACGGACGGGGCGAGGGCGGTCCCCGGCAGGGGCGGCAGCTGCCGGAGCGCGCGCGGGGCGCCGACCGTTGGGCGAGCCGCTGCGGGGGGGTGTGGGGAAGGAGGAGGGGAGAGGGAAGGGTGGGCGCCCGCCGCCTCAGAGCCCATAAAGCGGCGCCCGGCTGACCGGCAGTGCGCAGAGTTGGGTGGGGAGCATCGCCATGAGGGAGATCGTGCACATCCAGGCGGGCCAGTGCGGAAACCAGATCGGGACCAAGGTGAGCCTGAGAGGACACGGGGCTGCAGCTGCCCGGCAGCTGTTTAGTGGAATCCTGAAGTGCTCTGCGGCTCGTGCCCGGCCGCTTCTGTGGGCTGTGCCCCTACAACGGCGGGGTGGGGTGGGATTGAATGGGCAGGACAGCGCCAGCCGCCGCCATCCCGTGCCCCCGGTGAGGCGCTGCCGAGAGGCGCCGGACGCTCTCGGGACGCGGGGCACCGCGCATCGCGCCTCTCCCCGTGACCATAAAAGGCTTTGGGAAGTGCCGAAACTAGACGGGACCTTCTTATTTATTTATATATTTATTTCGCGTTTATGTTTGAACTGTCCGGGCTATGGCTCTAAAGCCGGGAAAAGCGGGCCCCGAGCACTGGAGTCCCGCAGCCCTTGGAGCTAGGAGTTGGGAAGCAGCCGTCTGTCCGTTGCGTTTAAATCCTGGTGCCTGCCGCCCTGTCCCGTCCGGTTCGGGGAGGGGCAGCGGGCACGTCAGGAATCCGGCAGCTGCAGCCAGGCCGCGCCGCGCTGCGCCACGGGGCCGCCGTCCCCCCCGCGGGCGATGGGCAGGGCCCCCAGTGCTCCGCAGGGGAGTTTCCAACACACTTCTCCTCCTCCCTTAGTTTTGGGAAGTGATAAGCGATGAGCATGGCATTGACCCAGCCGGAGGCTATGTCGGTGACTCAGCGCTGCAGCTGGAAAGGATCAATGTCTACTACAATGAATCATCTTGTAAGTGTGGGATGGGGAAGGGGTGCAGGATGGGGTTCTCCGTGGGAAAGGGCACAGAAATGGTGGAATGGTTTGGGTTGGAAGGGACCTGAAGGATGGTTTAGTTCCATTCCCCTCCTTTGCCAGGGGCATGTCATCTTCCATAAACCAGCTTACTCAAAGCCTTGTCCAACCTGGCCTCGAGCACTTACAGGGATGGGGCAGCCACAACTTCTCTGGGCAACCTGTTCTAGTGCCTTACCACCCCCACAGTGAAGAGCTACTTGCTAACAGGTAATCTAAATCTACCCTCTTTTGATTTAAAGCCATTCCCCCTTGTCTTATCCCTACATGCCCTTGTAGAAAGTCCCTCGCAGCTCACTTTGTTATACACAGGAAAGATTACTTTCTTATATAAGATATTTTCTTATAAAGTGAAAACTGGGTGTTATGTCGCAAGGCAGAGAGAAATGTCACAAGGGGCTGTACTTAGGTCTGGAGGTGGAGGTTTGTTTGTTATTTCACACTGTGCTAGGTGTTTGCTCCTTTTAACATATGATTATTCTGTCAGCTGTGTCTTATCAATTACCCCAAATTAAACTGTTTGTTAGATGAGCCTGTATCTGTAGCACTGTCTCTGATTTCATGACTGAGAGGGTTGAGCCACAGCTAATTGAGAACTCCACAGCGATTCATTAATAAGATGCCAAGGCTCCCAAATCCTCTGAGTCAGTCAGATGTTGAAGGATGTTAACTGTAAAATGTGCATCTTGTCCTTTAGTCTATTAGTGTGAATGTTTCATCTGTTGTCCAGCTTGAGTTAATTCATATTATTTGTCCAAGTTTCCTTGAACACTTTCAACTGGATACAGCTGCTTTATTTGTGCTTTGTGGTAGATGTGCAAACTACTACTGTTTGTCACCTATACCAAGTAGCTTTCAGTGGAGGTGAATTCGTCAAGCATAAAAGGTTGTGGGATGCATTAGGATTGTTTGAACATAAAACCTTCACTCACTCTATTATTCACAGAGAATATTATCTATTTTCTTATAAAGAGCATGTCAAATATTTTTCTAATCAGAAAATTCCCTCCCTCATATCTGTTGCTAAAAAAAGGGCTCACAAAACATAATATACTATCTGTAGGACCCCAAAGGTGTCAGGTCTGTTTTTAAAGCAGAATTAATTTGTCCCTATGGTGCTGGGGTTTCTCACTACCATGATTTCCTGTATGGGGAATATTTATATGTGTACATCTATGCTAGACTAAGAATATGAGACAGTATGATTGTGTACTGAGAGCTATAACCGTGTTGCTTATTTCAGAACATTAAGGGCATGTGTACTTTTTATTGTAGCCCAGAAATTTGTACCAAGAGCGGTTTTGGTGGACTTGGAGCCAGGAACCATGGATAGTGTGCGATCTGGTCCTTTTGGTCAGCTCTTTCGGCCTGATAATTTCATCTTCGGTATGTGAACATCACTTTTTAAAAAATTCAGGACTAAATGGTTCACCCAGGACTGAATGGTCAAAAAGCATTTAATCTCCCTATTTCAAAGTGATGGTTAGTACTGAGAAATCCTAATATCTTAACAATGGAATTGCAATTATCTGTAGGCCATTTAAAAGATCCCAGTAACTGAAAAAGCATTCTGTTACTCATGCCTTCAGTTAGCAAGCTACTGAAAGTTTCCTGTAGTATTCAGTTTTCATTTGCTTTCCATATATATGAACTCTGCAGAAATACTGAGACCACTTCTTTACAACAAATTGCATGGAAATTATGCAGAAAATGGAAAGGGGAGGGAGGGAACCCTCAACCACAAACCAACAAGACTACCCTTCATTTGAATTCACATTAAATGCTTGAGTACTGAATTATTTATAGGCTGTGTAATTCAGTTTTTTCAGCAGATCCCTGTAGTACAGTAAACAGTGGAAGAAGATCAGTTACTGGGTTATTTTCCAGCATAATGAGGAACAGTCTGAGAGTATGTGGGGAACTTCTGTTTTTGCAGTGTTTTTTGTAGAGAGTTCTTCTGGCCTTTACTATTTTACTTTGGACTTCTATAGTATTTTCCATGTAAGCTTAAAAATACACATTACAGTGATTAAATGTCATTTATTTTTCATTTTAATTAATTTTCATTTTACCCTTATGAAGTATAGAAGCATTATTGGTCCCTTTGTACTAAAGGGGAAAGTGTGTAAAAAAATTAAGTGATCCATTTGCTGAAACAGGAAGTCTGAATGAAACCTACCATGAGAACTTTTGTGTTCTTTTGGTTTCTAAGTTTGCACCAGACACAAAACATATTTCCTCCTGCCAAGGCAAGCTTAAGTTGCAACTGAGTTTGGTATATTGTGTATACATAAGGAAGGAACAATGCCAAAGTCAGACAGGGGAAAGATAAACATTATTTGGGTGGTATAAAACAAACTTTTAAGTCTGAGTTGTTGCTGTTGAGGTAGGGAGTATAGAAACCATACAGAGTATCTGACTTAAAACTTCTAATGCTATCCCAATTGTTCTCCTGTATATTCCATGTCAGTGAAGTTAAACGTCTCTTTCAAAAGAGCTTTTAGTTACTACAAGTAGAAGTAAGTTTGGGGAGAAAAGTCACAATCATAGGCAGCTTTATGAAGTATGCTTCTGTATTCAGGTTTTTCCTTTCATTCCCTTTCTCCTGCATGGAGCACAGAAGCCTGCTGAAAGTGATTTCATCTGACCTATGGAAATACTTGAAGTTGAGCTTTGCAATTTGGCATGCCAGCACTAAAACCAGAGCAAAATCAGTTCAGAATGTCTTCAACAATAGTCCAGTTCACTGTGCTCCTCTTCCTGCCAAGATAACAATGAACCAACAGCATGTGATCAACTTGTATCTGACAGAGGCCCCTGCCAGCATCAGGCACTGTCCTCCCAACCTGCTGAATAATGTAGAATGGCTGAGTGCTGAAGTAATGATCTTCTCTGTCAAAAGCCAACAAAGCATTTTGTTTTCTCTCTTAAAAATCTGGCATGCGCCTACAGAGGCATTTGTGGCAGAATCTGTCAGTCCCATACTTGCTGTGCCACAGGCTGATAGGGCTCATTCTGATGGAGATGTTTTTCACCTCTGCTTGTACATACCTGCCTGTGCCTATGTCTCCCTAGCAAGTAGCCATGGACCATCAACTCCGATGTAATTCAGCTATATTGAGTACACAATCACACACTCCAGATACAGGAATTTTAGCTCAGACCAGCAGGAGATTGAGATGGATGCAAAATAATCCTTGTGCTTTAATGCATGTGTTGACAAGGTAGAGACTTAAAAGATGAATAAGCACAGGTGAAATGATCTTGCTGTATGAGAGCAACAGGTCTTCTGGCTGCCTAACAGCATAGAACTGCCCACCAGGAACTGCTGTGCACTCTGGTGTATATGCTGTTGTTAACCAATTTTCATTTGTACATTACTGCGTTTGTTGTTTTCTTGTGTGCACCCTTGCCAGCTTTACTATAGAGATACCACTCCAATTTAAGTTATATGAACTGTCAGGGGCAACCACAAAATGTCTGTTAGCCAATCAAAGGAGCCATTCTTTCCTCTCTAAATCATCCCATGAGTTCTATACCAAGGCTGTTCACACTAGGCTTCAAAGAGTTAGTGTGCAAGTTACTGATCTCTCTTCCCATGTTTGTCTTTTTAAAGTGGTGAAGAAAGGTGTTAAAGAAGACTGCAGAAAATAGTTGTTGCTATTTTAGGAATTAAAAAATAAATTGTTAAGCAAATGGCTTCCATTCATGTGCAGCTTAACCTACGCATGTGTGATAACTCTACAATGTATTGGGGAAATAAATAGTGGTAGAAGGATCTGGAGGCACCAAGAATGCAGATAAGCTGTGGGATTGCTTTGTGTAAGTGTCCTTTAGATCTCAGTAAATACACAGTAAGAAAAGGCAGAGGCAGGATGCTAGAGATGGGCTGCGTAGAACACAGAGCTT